GCAGCTCTCTTGATATCACTTAGCACACGAATGGAATAGGCTGCTAGTAAAACTTCCCTGTCAACGACGTCCGCAACCGGTGGTCAACGTGTAGTGTAAGTACTTCAATTTAGCGTTGGGAGTCGCAGACGCGCCGGGCTAACCGCTGAGCTATCGGGACTGATTAAACTTTAACCTATTGATATCCACTTTGACTTGGAAGATGGTACGACGATACGTCAGAATCGATGTGCCGAGGCCACGACGTACGAGGTACAGTTGCCAACCATGGATGTAAGTGTCGCCTCGTGTATGTCGCGTAGCCCCGAACGCTCGCTTCTCCCATCGAACTTAGAGCATACGAACGACCTGTCGCCGGAAACACATCGGATTGCCAAAAGCAAAGAGATCAAATCCATGCCAGAGTGCTGCCAGAAAATTGCGCCTGTCTTCGGAAGGAATGACATGCCTGCGAAGGCGCACGGAGAACGCGTTCAGTGTTACAACCCTGCTCACGACGATCAGAGCTGCGGATTCAGCTACTACTAGCGTGAATATTTCGGTAGATAACATCAGGTGCTGAGTGGTTGAGAGTACCTCACGGAAGCGGAGATTAGTGAGAGTGCAAGCAAAGCTGAAGCTGAGAACTCACCTGATAGGTTCGCAAAGGGTCCGACCTCGGTTGGGCCCAGGACCAGCCAAAAGATGCCACGGCTACCGGCTTCTCGTCCGTTGTTCATTCTGCAATGCATGCTGTTTGAACGAGAGCGACCCAGCCAGTGAATCGCAAGCACAGAAGGCGCAGACGACAAGGGCGTGCGAAGAGGCGTAAATATGCCTAACTCCGAAGTGGGACTGTGACCATGAGGCAATAGTGCAAGAATGCGATTATGAGGAATACAGCAGATATATTACATGGCAGGTGAAGGAGGTTTTGCCACCTCATCCCAGCTCGATTCTGCGTCGCCCCTTGATTCACCAGTCTCGCTCCCTTCAGCTCCATCCACCACTCGTCCATCGCACATACATCCTCTGTGCAGCGCTAGTACGCTGCTTCTTTCGCCTCACTTACCTTCCTACAAACATTGCCCATCGTCGTCATTGCCACAGCTGTGCAGTTTGCGTAGAAAGTTCCAAGCCAGGAGTCGGTTGATCCAGCGAGCGTGGAGTCTTTCTGGGCATCATCATCGACGCAACGCACTGTGGATATCGGAGAGAAGTCGTACCTAGTTCATTCAGCGTGGCTTAAAGCGAAGAATATGAGTCGATGCAACTAGCCAGAGGAGGTCTTGACAACGAGCGAATTGAACATGGATATGGATATGCTGGAGGGATAGGAAGAGTGAACGGCTCGGCCTCAAACGGATCAGCAGCTCCCTGATTGCGGATTCGCCTCCTGCTTGCAACAGTGCACCTTCCTCAACACCTGTACCATCTGCAGCAACTGTGATCTGCGATACAGTGTTGTACTTCGAAAGCTTCTGTGCAACTTGAATGAACTACTTTTCTCATACACGGGGATAAGTGCCACTCGATCATCTCGGCTATTGTCCTCATGTATGGCAGTACATACCCAAATGGGCCCCTTCCATCGAATCCGAAAGCGTACTCCAGGCTCGTCAACACCTAGGACAATGGAAAGCTCCGCCACCTATAAGTACCAGAGTTCATGGCCCTCTGCTTCAGTACTTTCCCTCGACCTTCCTTCGAGATGACCATCTTGCCGGGGCAGTCACCTTATCATGACTCTTACCGACATACACACGACGTCCAGTCTCCGACCAAGACGCTCTCTCACTCTATTCTGAACGCAGTCAGACCACCCAACACATCTCGTTCCAATGCGACAGGCTCTACCAAGGCCTCTCGATTGCGCCAAATCTCCACCACCAAGAGCGCGGAGGCAGTTCAGCGCGCTCCCTCTGCCACTACTTACCCCCCAAGCTCTGCCACGAAACCTTCGGCGAATGCATTCACGAGATCCGGCTCTTCCTCTTCACGACGGCCAAACGTCCAATCTCCGACCCGGATCGTCTCATCATTCATCCCAGGGCCATACAACCCATCCCAATCCCATTCCAGTCCGAGACCTCGATCACGGCATATCTCCATCCCCACAAGCAGCTCGATCCCACGTTCACCCTCTGCTGCCCACTTTCTCAGCTCCCCTACGAAAACGTCGTTCCCCAGCTCCTCTCCGCAAAAAGCACAACTTCAAGCGCCCGCACCCACCTCAATCAGCACACCCTACGCATACCTTCCCCCTCCCTACCACCCCCCCCAATTCACACAGTATTCAGACGCCCCCTTCGTCAGTCTCCCACTGCATTCTCAGCGGTATCTTACCATCATCGATCGCGACTTCAATCCGCCCACGTCCAACCGCCCCTGTGAGCGCGTCGCGTATCTGAACCGCCGATTCCGGGAGATGCAGTTAGAGTTGGAGAGGGGATTGATGAGAGCGTTGGATGGGAGTACGATTGGGTTGGTGGGGTTAGCGGTGGAGAGTCGAGTGGATGAGGTTGGTGCGACGGAGAGGGAGGTGATGATGAATGAGAGGGGGAGGAGGAGGTCGTCTGCGCTTGCGAGGAGTCCGTTGTTGGAGTTCAGGCGGAGGAATGGAGAGGAGGATTTCGAGATGGTTTTTGAAGACGAAGACGAGGAGGACGAGATGAGGGAGAAGGAGTGGGAAGAGGAGAAATGGCGCAAAGAGCAAAAACGGCTCGAGCTAGCGCATGCTTTCTTCCGTGATCGATTCGACGCGCTCGACGCGTACATGTTGAAGATCGACGCGTTGGTGTGGCTTGATATGCGCACGAGGCCGCAGAATTTCAGGAGGGATAAGGTGACGAGTGAAGTTCCGGTGGATAGGAAGGCGGAGAGGGCGTTGAGGGTTAGGTTTTGTGAGACGACGTTGAGGAAGGCGGAGGAGGGGGTGAGGAGAGAGATGAGGGTGGCTTTAGAGCAGTGGGGATGATCTGGTCTGGGTCGTGATGTCGCGTACTCTCGAGCTATGTATATCTGTATTCTGAAGTGTCTTGTCCGGCGGAGCTTTTGACTCTTCTACTATTCATTGTATCGTTACCGTACACTTCATAAACTTGCAATGCAACTGGTGATAAATCATGATGCATGCACTACCATATTTGCAAAAAACAGTTTTTTTACTTTCAATCCTCTACGATATCGTGTGCAGGATAAACAAGTATCATATGAAACCAGTCATTGCTCACTCCACCGTACGTACGGACCTGCAATGATAGTGCATGCTCAGCAAGGCATCACGTATACTCGGTTGACGAGCAAAGGAATCCTCTCACCTATGCACATGAGTTTCCAGCCTTTCATGCCCTCAGCTTGACCAATATGGATCATGAGTTCCGATTTCGGAGCGAGTTTGTCCTTTCGAACATCCTCGTGCAAAAAGAAGTAGGCGCCACACCCAAGGATACGGATGTGCAAGATGGAAGGCTTGTCGCCAGTAACCAACTCAAAAGGTGTTTGCCAATTAAGGCGAACCGTAGGCGTGTGATTGTAGATATGTACAGCCTGTTTGACCGCAAATTCCCACCAGGAATCAGGAAGACCGGCAGCCAGGCGGAGAGCCTGCGCCTTGTCCATAATAGTCCGGTTGAAGCGTTCAGCACGACCATTTTGCAGAGGCGTGTGAGGTACACTTCTAAAGCGTTCATTGTCTTCGGATTGAAGCATCTCCTCAAAAGCGGCGGAGCTGTATTCTCTCCCTTGATCAGCCATCCCTTCTTTAATGACAGCGCCATACTGAGTCTTTGCCATGCAGATGAAATCAAGCACAGCGTTGATAGCAGCAGACTTCTTTCACAGGAAGACAGTCCAGCCACATGAAGAATAACCATGAAGAAAAGAGATGTACCACTTGTAATTGTGATAGGACAGAGTGGGGAATTATTTGAGATTGGAGTGGATCCGTTCAAAGAGCTTTGATGCACAAGTTGACAAAGGAGGGAAAGAGCGAGAGGGCATCTTCCCTTTGGTGCAACCGGGACAAACTGGTTTGGATTCTGATATGTGGATTGAAGGAACATCCTTCACATTCTGTATTGAAGGTACAGGTATGCAGCACAGAGTACCACAGTACCAGCAGAGTACAACAGTACTGGCAGCGTACAGGGGACACTCACCAAGATAACCCTTAGAGGAACAGAGCATGTAGTAATTACAGGCAATGTGGGGAAAAGGAAGAGAAAAGACCCTAGGTATATTTGAGTAGACCTAGTCTCATATACGTAGTACAGGTTGCAGACATGTAAGCATGTAGAAAAGACAATGAGTCTACATCTAGGAGTCATAGGGCATAAGGATGTAATCTTATCTAAAGACTGAGCCTGAGGTGTTCACTGAAGCTAAGAACCAATCTACACTACAGTGGTATTTATTTAACAATGACCAACCTTAACCTTATCCGTGGTTAACCTTATCTGTATCTGTGCCATGCCCTAAAGGTAGGTTTGTGAAAGGACTCAAGGTGGGGGGATGGGAATTCGTACCTGTATGGTGACTGTGTTGACGTAGAAGCGGTTGTTGCGCTTGGGGGCTGTCAGCGAGCTTGTGGTGCTAGCAGCAGCCTTGGAACCAAGGGTTTTTTTGCCAGTCATGATAGTAGCTTGCTATGCGCTCAAGGGTAGATGGATGTAGGGAATGAATGAAAGATAGAAGAGAAATGTGACGGTGCTGAGACTTTTGTAGATATCGGAGTCAAAGGCACGGATGCAGGTCAATGGTGGTCCGCACATTGGTTCACAGTGATGACAAAGAGCTCAAAGGACTCAGTTTCTTCATTGAAAGTATCAAATTGGAGCTGGAGTGGCGGAGCTGGGCGCTTTGAGATAAGGTATGGTCTTTTCAAAGAATACGTCGCAAGTGGAGGCGACCAAGTCCATGGGGGTGAAAGACAAGCTGTAACGCCGACGAGACTCAGAGATCGGTGCCCCACGAGAGAGCGCCAGTCAGATTATATACTAAAAAAGTGCACATTGAACAAGTCTCTGATAGTATATCGGTTAGTACACGCGCCTGTCATTCAATTCCTTGCGTTGATGATTATTCGCGCGAAAGCTGGGTTCGACTCCCAGTCAGAGAGTGGTTATGAGTAACATTTCTTTTTGTCTTGTTTTTCGCATGCTATATCTCGGAGCTCAGTGAATCTGGCTCGGTGGGCGCATCGCGTGTGTAACAGTCACATTTACTATGGTTTAGAGCTACTGCGCAGTTACTTTACTGACAAATTGGATCCAATCGCAGCATTATGAGCTTAGGACTACATGTGCAGTGCACTGGCATGGCAAAGGTGCTTAGTGTAACACAGTAACACTTGTGATTATCTGGGACGATAAACACGGTGTGGGGAGCTTACATCAAGATCTTCAAGGATTATGCGCACGGTTTCCATGTTTACAAATACTTGGAAGCTGCACACATGTAAAATACATGCACTAAGCTCAAGACGATTGCTCGTACGACTGGAATGCGATGAAGCGCAGCGTCTCATCGGTTCATCGTCCCGACGTCCGAAAGCCACTGCCACCGCCACCGCTACCGCCTCACGTCCTGTGCTGTCACCACCCACGGTTCTGACAGCAGTCAGGGCACCTCAACCGCATTTGCTCTCCTCCCCTTCTCCTCGATGCAGCCAGATCTACAAGTCACGCTACACCGGATGCAATTTCGGGCGGAAGGTTACCCCAGCTCACCCAGAAAAGGATCCGGAAGGTTCCTCGTCAACTCCAGGTACAAGGGGGACGGAGCTTTCCCGGAAGCTAAACTTTATTTCTTTCCCCGACGGGGGTCTCAAGTGTAACGTTCAAGTGAGTATCAGCAGTGAAGTGACGATTCGCTAAGTAAGTATGGAAGTGAATGGGATGGGATGGGATGGAAGTGAATGAAAGAATGGATGAGATGGGGATGGGATGGAAGTGAATGAATGAATGGATGAGATGGGATGGGATGGAAGTGAATGAAAGAATGGATGAGATAATGATGGGATGGAAGTGAATGAAAGAATGGATGAGATGGTGATGGGATCCGATCAAGGGGAAGGACGGATTGAGGATAAGGGCACTTTGTCAGCGGGTATGAGGAGTTCATTCTGCGTGGTACTGGATGGCTGTTAGAGTTCGTTCGTTGGGTGAGCAAGGTGATTGTCATTAGGGCTCGAGTCAAGCATAGGATTCCCCCAAGTACATAGAATTATTACATACATAGATATCGACAGTAGAATGGAGGTTGGATCGATTTTAATGGTATAGCGAACATCCTTCCATCCCTCCATTCTCGCGTCGTTGACAGCTGAGCAGATCCATCCTTGACTTGTCTTGCACCGCCGAAGCGAGGAGAGCGAGGCTGCCTCGTGCAGGCATCGTGTTCGTCTTTTCCCATCCTACATCCCGCCGTTTCCTTGTTAAGCTGATTCGACGGTGCTAGTGATAGTGACAGAGCAGAGGGAAGCAGTCCTGAGAAGGACTACGAAAGGGAGATGCCGCCTGTACGCGTACACGATGGGTTCGCGTACGTTGATGACCTCCGTACGTCTGTTCTTTTTACGTTCACTTTCAGGGAGATGAAGCTGATGGAATGTGTCTATTCCTTCTCTTTTCTTCACCTGCTCTTTGGGTCCGACTGAACTGCACCTCGCCACATATTCATCGCACCTGGATGTACTACTGGCTCTTGAACGACACGGCTATAAATTCCACCTTCACAAACACAGATGGAAATGGAGAAGAAGAAGAAGAAGACGTAGAGATGACTCTGGACGACCTTCCTTTGCTCGTCGAGAGACCAGAGGGGTACGATGCGCAGGGGTTTGGGTTCGGGATGAACGTCGATTCTTCCAATGGTACGTCTCCATCTTTGTCCTTTGTTCTCCGAGACACTGTTTGTTCTCGACGCCGTTCGTTCTCTCTGTCGGTTGACCTCATGCTAATTGATATAACTCGACAGGTATAAACATGCCACCACTCGTCGAGTCCAACCACTCGTTTCCCACAACCAAGTACCCCTCCGGCACGATAGAATATCCCGGTTCAGCCGTGCCCCAGTATCCCCGCTTCGGCGCCAATCCGGGGTATCCTGGGTATTCCCAGGCGCGAGGATATTCACCGACGACGGCTGGGTACTCTCTCAACCCAGGTGGATTCTCTCCAAACCCGGGCTTCAACGCGATACCAGGATATCTTCCGCACCTGGGGTACGCGCCCTATGCAGCATTCCCACCCCACCCGGGACACCCACCATATACAGGATACTCATCAACCACAGACTCGTACTCCGCCCCATACTCCAGTCCCTCCTCCAGCTCTTTCCTCCCCAGTCCCGCGTCGACGCCATTCATATCCAGCCCAGGATCGAGTCCGTTCCTCTCTAGTCCGAGTGAAACTAGCCCGTACCTTACGAGTCCGGGGTCAAGTCCGTTCCTCCCCAGCAATCCCAGCTTGAGTCCATTCATCACTCCCCCTGGATCCAGTCCTTACTTGAATACTCCAGCTCCAGGCTCCAGTCCATTCGTCTCGCCCTTCCAATCCTACCCCGTGCATCATGCGCATCCGTATCTCCCACATCTACCTAGGCCTCCACCTTCCGCGAACCAATTTCCGACTGGGTTCGGCCTCCCGACTCAAGCGAATAGCTTCTCACCGACTTCCTCCACCAACACCCAGCCCACCAACACTGACTCCCACGCCACTGCGTTCACGTTAACATCTCCCCTTACCCAACCAGCCTTCGACCCCCCACCACCAGGCTTCTTCCAGTTGTACGACGGAGGCGATGTGAAGATCCGTGCGAGTCCTGAGCCTGAGCCTGAGCTTGGCGGTGAAGGCGCGGCTGACGGAGGGGACGGAGATGGGAAATGCGGAGGGAGAGGGGGACAGGCCGGTGCGCCACGTCGTGGTGGGGAGAAGATGAGTTTCAAGACGACTGGGGATAAAGACACCGCGAAGGCTGGAACGCCGAGGAAGAAACGCGACCGCGCTAAACCCACCACCACCACCACCACCAAGAATGGAACAGGGCGGAAAGACCCCTCGTACATCCCGCGCGCCCCTAACGCGTTCATCCTCTTCCGGAGCTCGTTCATCAGGAGTCAGAGGGTGCCGGGGGATGTGGAGGGAAGGAATGCGAGTTTGAGTAAGATCGTTGGTGAGTCGCGTTCTTGGTTTGCGTTTAGGTCTGGGCTTGGGTTGGGTTTGGCGGTGTTGGAGTTCTGTCCTTTGCTTTTGTGGGTTTGTTTTGTGGTTTTGGTGGGTTTGCTCTGGGGTCTAGTTGACGTTGCTTTGTCATGGAGGCTTGCGGATTATTCCCACAATTCGCAGTTCGCGTCGTGCGGTCCGTCGAGCGTTATTGGAAGCTGTCGAGTTCGCGGAGCCTCATCCGCTCCCCACGCTTCGATTCCTCCCTCGATTTCTACCTCTCTTTCCTTTCCATTCCTACCTCTCTTCGCCATCCTAACCACCCTCCCTCCCAGGTCTCTGCTGGAACGCCCTCCCCCCCACCGAGCGCGCCCACTGGGAAGAAAAAGCCACGCTCGCACAGGCGGAACATAGGCGCAGATACCCCGATTGGAGGTTCAGACCTGGCACGATGGTCGGTCGGCGAGGACGGAAAGGAGGCGGGGCCGGAGCGAATGGGGGTAGGGGCGGAGCTAATGGGGGTCGGGGCGGAGGTGTGATTATGGGAGCCAAGGACGGGGTGAGAGATGGTGAGGATGGGGGAGGGGAGGATGAGGGAGGGGGAGGGAAGCCGGGGAATGGGGGGAGGGGGTATGGAGTTGGTGCATTGCCTGGTGTTGGGGTGATGCGATTTAGGAACGATACCACCGCTGTGGAAGGAGCTTCAGACTCGCCTTCGAAGGGCAAATCGTCGGGGTTGCTCGTTCATCCGGATCAGAAGAAAACCTCCTCGTCCAAACCTAGCTCGGAATCAGTGAATGGATCGACCTCCCCCGCATCCCCTAGCCCACCCACAGCGACCAAATTCACCCTCTTCACACCCCCATACACATTCCCTTCTCCTTCGCCCGCTGCTTCTCCCCATCCATCTTCGTCTTCTCCTACTACCACCACCTTCCCATACTCATTCACCCCCCCGAACACCCGCACCACCTCAAAGTTCACTGCCCCCTCCTCCACTTCAAACTCCACCACTACCACTGCAAACGTCCCACGCCGCGGACGAAACCGTCCCGCCACCCGTCCCCTCGATGCAGAGTCACACGCGATCGCGCGGAGAGAGGCGAAGATTGCAGAGTTGTTGACGATGGGGGTGGAGGGTGAGATGTTGAGTGCTGCGATGAAGGAGTGGGAGGGGACTGTTAAGGAGGAAGCGGACGAGGCGGGGAAGGGGAAGGGGAAGGCGGTGGTGAACGACGATGTCGGTGCCGAAACTCATAGAGTCAAGGGGAAGGGGAAGGGGAAAGAGATTGAAGTTGTCCGTATGAGCGCTAGTCCCGCTCCCGTTCCATCCACACCCAAGAATCCTTCTCCTACGGCCACTACCACCACAACCCCAGCTCCACGCAGTACATCCCTCGCCCGCTCGAAATCTCTCCTATCCCCCTCATCTTCCCGTACCAAATCACCCAACGTGGCCCGGTCTCGATCGAAATCCCCGGTTAAACCCAGGTCCAAGTTCAAGCACTACACCTCTTCGTCCTCTCAGGGTGGTGGCTCTCTCAGTGGTTCTGGGAGTGGGATCTTTCCTCGTCCGAGACCTCTGGCGCTTCCACTTCCTCCGCCAGTTCCCAGTCTGCCGGCGGAGTTAGCGGGGTTGTCGCCGACGTTTTCGATCTCGTCAGTTTCGTCGGTGAATCTTTCGCCTGCGCTTTCGACTGTTACATCGGCGAGCGAGGATGGATTTGGGACATCAGTCAACGCTGGTTCGAGTCCCGTTGCACATGGCGGAGGGGAGCATGTTTCTAGCGGAGGAGGGGTTCAAGTTGCCTGCAGAGGGGAGGACGAGATGTTCATGGACGCTTCGGAGGAACTAGCGTTCTTCGACAACACGGAAGCAGACGAGACGATGCGACGGTCGTCTTCTGCTCCCGCTTCCTCTCCCCTTGCGTCCAGCCCGAGTACGAAAACGCCG